ATTGTTTTGCTTCTTTGCTTCTTTGCTTCTTTGCTTGTTTGTTTGTTTGTTTGTTTCATTTTCCTTTTTGAAGGCAAGCGCATTGAATACGTTCTTTTTGTGGATGACATGTAAATCTTATGTAAATGAATCGTTTATTTCAGTAGCCACGAAACAGGAAAGAGTTTGTTGAACTACTCGCTCAGGTAAGTGTTCGTGTATCAAGATGAAATGAGAATTGTTGGCTTTCGTGGAGGGAGGAAAACCAAAAAGAACCCGGAGGTGATGGATCAGAGAAAAGCATCTTTAGACCCTTGCGGGAACCAAATCAACACCAACCAGATCAATCACAAATCAGAATGTAGAAAGACGAATTAAACACTTGAACTTCAGACAACCCGTAGCAGTGTCTATATGATGTGATACTTGTGTTTATTTGAAATTAAAAAAAAAACTTAGTTGGTCATGGCCAGAAAGTATCAAAAAATGGTACAGTAAACTAGACAAAGTTATTGGTTCAACGGCTTTTGCTATTTGTCTAATAGTTTATTGTTCCAGTTGCATTATTTGGAAATTAAGGTGATCCTGTACAATCTGTATGTCCCTTTATTTTACTTTTTGTTAGACAGCAAGTGAATATGATGTAACATATGTTTTAAAGTCGTTTTAACGTAATCTATATTTACAACCCTGTGAAAAAACTAAAAGCCAGTTATACGTCAAACTAGTGAGTTTTTAAAGCCAGTAAGTGAGCATGATGTAGCATGCGTGTTACGGTCATTTTAAGGTAATCTGTTTTACAACACTGTGATAAAATGAAAGACAGGTATAAAGTCAAACTAGTGAGTTTTCAAAATCACCAGTAAGTAAGTGCAATTAATTAAAGAATAAATAAAGAATTAAATAAAGAAACAGCTCTAGTAAGTTTTGTAAGTGTCTTCTCAAGTATGGTCTTACAAAAACTTGATTGCTGATTCNTGCCTATAGTCCTTAGTGTGCGTACCCCCTCCCCCTAACCCCTCCCCCTAACCTCAAGAGAAATCCCTGATTGTTTTGCTTCTTTGCTTCTTTGCTTCTTTGCTTGTTTGTTTGTTTCATTTTCCTTTTTGGAGGCAAGCGCATTGAAAACGTTCTTTTTGTGGATGACATGTAAATCCTATGTAAATGAAACGTTTATTTCAGTAGCCACGAAACAGGAAAGAGTTTGTTGAACTACTCGTTCAGGCAAGTGTTCGTGTATCAAAATGGAATGAGAATGGTTGGCTTTCGTGGAGGGAGGAAATCCAAAGTACCAGAGAAAAGTATCAGAGAAAAGTATCTTTAGACCCTTGCAGGAACCAAATCAACACCAACCAGATCAATCATAAATCAGTATGTAGAAAGACGAATTAAACACTTGAACTTCAGACAAACCGTAACAGTGTCTATATGATGTGATACTTGTGTTTATTTGAAATTAAAAAAAACCTTAGTTTGGTCATGGCCAGAAAGTATCAAAAAATGGTACAGCAAACTAGACAAAGTTATTGGTTCAACGGCTTTTGCTATTTGTCTAATAGTTAATTGTTCCAGTCGCATTATTTGGAAATTAAGGTGATGCTGTACAATCTGTATGTCCCTTTATTTTACTTTTTGTTAGACAGCAAGTGAACATGATGTAACATATGTTTTAAGGTCATTTTAACGTAATCTATATTTACACTGTGAAAAAGCTAAAAGCCAGTTATACGTCAAACTAGTGAGTTTTTAAAGCCAGTAAGTGAGCATGATGTAGCATCCGTGTTACGGTCATTTTAAGGCAATCTGTTTTACAACACTGTGATAAAATGAAAGACAGGTATAAAGTCAAACTGGTGAGTTTTCAAAATCACCTTGTAAGTAAGTGCGATTAAATAAAGAATAAATAAAGAATTAATTAAAGAAACAGCTCTAGTAAGTTTTGTAAGTGTCTTCTCAAGTATGGTCTTACAAAAACTTGATTGCTGATTCCTTCAACAGGTTTTTTACGTCTTCTGTGACGCGGTTAATTGTTGGAGTTTGTGCGGTCTTACTGTGATACCAGTGAATCAGTTCCTACTCACCACTACCCTGATTTCTTGTTTGCTGAAGAATCTGAGGCTCATGTGAGATCTAAACTGCGGAAATCAAAACCTGGTAAAGCAGTTGGCCTTAACAATATTCCAGCCCGCCTTCTGGTTGATTCCGCGGACATTGTGGCCAAACCCTGACTGCAATTACTAACATCTCTTTGCAGTCAGGGGTAGTTACCTTAGAATGGAAAGCCGCGCGCGTCATCCCCATGTTCAAAAAAGGCAAAGCTGATGATATGGACAACTATCGTCCTATCTCTATTTTGCCCGCCGTTTCTAAGGTGTTAAAAAGAGCTGTACACCATCAATTGTACGCTTATCTTCAGTGCCACAAAGGTCGTAGCCCGTATCAGTGTGGTTTCCGGAAGTGCCACGCCACGAAGTGGGCCGCTATGTGTTTCGCGGATACAATCTGAAGGAACATCTAATAACAATCGCGGACATATCCTGTTGAGTCAAAGAGATATCAAAGCCGCTCTCCTCAAACTGCGATGCGAAAACGACACCCTCAGCCGAAAAATGCCCCCTCTCACCCACCCTTTCAATGTTGCCGTTTGTTTTTTGGCAAATATCTTTTGCGACGAACCATTTACGTACAAAGCAACATTGAAAGGGGGGGAGGGCGAGGAAAAGTACGTAATAAGAGT